TGCCGGTTAATTATTATGTTCTTGCTTGAGCAATGGTTAGATTTTCGTGATTATGAATTTCTTATATCTCACAATAGATAGTAAAAAAAACTGGTGTGGATTGAACTCAGCTCTATTCGACTCGTTAAGGCTCGAACTCATTTAAAATAATGGGGGACTTGGCTCGATAAGATACAAAAAGTTGATTTTTACATAATTTTTTATAGTTCAACTATTTAAAGCTCCATTCCAGACTCGAATTTGACTCGCCGAGCTCGAGCTCTAGCAACATGAGTTTGAACTTGGCTCGACTCGATTTCAGCATGTGTTGTATGGTGGCCTATATCATTGTCATCTAAATCAAAGAGTTATTTATTATTTTTGACTAAAATAGAGACATATCATCATATAAATCCTAATTACTTCCATTCAATGGTATACTAGTATAAAACCCGTGTATTACACGGGTGCTTGATATTTTTTTCTTAAAGTCTAAAATTAATGAGAAAAAGTAATTTGTACAAATATATATATATATATATATATATATATAATTTTTAACTTACCTGTGTTATATTATAATAATTTTTAACTTACAACATATAACTACATTAAAAATAAATATGTCAATTGATAAATAATTTTATTTTTCTAACGAATTTTAATAAATATTATTATTTTTTATTATTATAAAGATAAATACAATTTATTTATTTCATATATATACAATATGGATGTCAAATCAAAGATCATCAAAAGATGATTAATTTGATATATAATATATGTAAAACTGATAAGAAATACAAAAGTTGTCAACTTTTAAAATACATTTACAATTCAATAGCTAATTGAATGAAACAAATCAAAGTCAGGGACATATTAGTCACTTAGTACCTCACTATGTAAATTAAAATTAATTAAAGGGTTATATTAGTACAAGTGATATTAAAATACCTAAGTTAGATAAACAATATTTATGGAATGTCCGAAAGTAGATTATTAATTATTTATATATCAATATTATTTGTCCAAACCTAATTACGAAGCATGATTCTTCGCCAAGTAGGATTCCGAATCACCAGAAGCAGCCACGTAGGCTCAGCGCATTCGGAAATTATATATATAAGGAGGATTTGATATATACTTCAATGACAATAAAACCCAAATTGTTATATATTATTTCCTTAATTAGAGTCACCAACAGTAACTGATTGGTCCATTCTCACATAAGAATTTTATTTTGATTTGTTATATAAGTTGAATAGTATATAGCTCCATATTCTTGACCTATATATATAGAATATGGCATTGGTTCCTAAATGTATAGTAACAATGACAATCATTAATTTTACATTTATTTTTATTTCATGTTCCCTCTAGGGTTTTCGCAAGGTTGCGACGAGCCGGTGGGAATTTAGCAATGAAATGTTCCGCAAGGGAGAAAGGAACCAACTCTGCGAGATCCGAAGAAGGAAATCGTCCTCCAACAAGCCGAAGCCCAACACAAAAGCCCAATCGACACACGAACCGAAAGCCCAATCATATGTGGATAGGTCCACGCCATCCACTACCTCATCCTTGTCAGGATTCACAACCCTAGCCGACGAGAACAAGAGGCTCAAGCAAGAAAACGGAGTTTTGAGAAAAGAGCTCGAGATCGTGAAGAGAAAATCTAAGGAACTACTTGATTTGGTAGCCATTTATAATGTAGGGGATATGGAGAGAGAGGCACACAAGAATATGGTTGATAGAGAGAAAAGAGAAGGGCCAAAGCTTTTTGGAGTAACATTATTATTGGAAGTTGATGAAGGCAAGATGGAGGTGAATAATAAGAGGAAAATTGGCTGAGATTAAAGTGAGGGTGCTTGGGTCATTTTGTCTCAATAGTGCAAATAATTTAATTTTAGTTAATGCAAGAGATATAGGTTTATAGGAAAATTGGGGGTATAAACTTTGAAGTTATGGGCAAATATATATTGCATGGATGAGCAAAGTTATCCATGTAGAGCTATATATGTGTAGTTCATCATAAGTTGTACATTTATAATATGAATGTCATAAGTTGTTAAAACCCTATGAATCGATTAAAACCTCCAACGACCATTCGAATCCCGCGCTAGCCCTCCTGATATTTCAATTTAATTAAAAAATATAAATATTTATTGAAAAGGTATAATTGGCTACAAGTAATCTTACTCCTAGACAAAAGGTTTTATCAAGTGTGTAAATGGGGCATCTATAAAGTCATTTAATTCAAGCTCCATAAACATATTCTATATATTAATATGAGAGA